GACATGAGCTGTCTCCTCCTACAGCCCATTAGATCTGCCTTCAAGAACCCACATGCTCTGCAGCTTTTCAGTCAGACAAAAGCAGGTTTCCCAGCACTGTCCCTTCTGAGAGTGGGTCCCCACATCTCATACCGATGTCCTGCTGAGCCCCAGGGCACCAGACCAGCCAGCCTGACTAACCCATCATTGCCCACAGCCACCACCTTCTCTCCTCCCCTCAGACCTGCACAGCACTGCCTGAGCCTCTCTCCTCCTCCTCCTGGGGAGCTGGAGAAGCGTGATTGCAAATAACAGCCTCACCTCTTCACCCATGGAGTGGGGGCTGGATGAGATCTGATCAAGCAGCTGCTTATCAGTCCTGGGCACTGTCTGCCCATGACTCAGGAGCCATAGGCTGCTCTGTGTCAGAAGTCCCTGCAGGGTTCTCCCAGCAAGGCTTCCAAAGACACTGAGGGTATTTTCAAACCAGCTGGTTTTGTCTGGTGTGCAAGTAAATTAGGCAGCTGTATTGCATACCTGTGTGGCTGATGGCAGTGGAATATATTTTAGGAGTTAATACAGGGATTTCCTGGGCTGGGACATTACACTCCTTACACCTTTTCTTGGTCTGAAAGCAAGGTCCCAGAGCAAAGCAGGTGCAGAGGACATCAGGAGCGCCCAAGCTGTGTATGAGCTGTCTGCATTGAGCTGAGCACACCTCAAAACAAAACCCCCTCCCACAGGGATCATTGCTGGCACCCAAATGCAGGATTTGACCCCAAAGAATCCTTCCCCAGTTTGCTGAGTATCTCCATATTCTGATCTACAGAAGCACATGGCTCAGCAGGTGTGAAGAATGCCAAACAACATATCCTACTGTCTCCCCTGCTCAGGTAAGGGAACAAACTCACTAAGGTGGAGCTTGGCTAATGTAAGAACTTCACAGGTCCCTAATTATACTTGAGAAATACTATAAACAGAAACAGAATTCTGATTTTAAAAGGTGGTAAAAAAAAGCAGCTCTTAGCACACCTGGCCAGCATAAACCAATGTAGGACATGGTCAGATTTTGGCACAGTGGATCAGAGAAGTAATGAGATCCCATGAAAGACAGGTGCTCTTTACACCTCAGGGCAAGACAATAGCTCTGGGCCTTCTCAGTGTAACCATGGGCCTTCCATAAGCATCTGCTGAAGGGCTTTTCACCTCTGTCTCAGCATTCCTTTAAGCACCATCCATACACAAATCCCTACTTCACCTCCCTCCCTCAGTCAGCCGCTGCATTCCCTATGTACCTAACGGGGCGGCAGAGGCGCCTGCTCTTCGCACGCCCTGGGTGACACTGCACAAATTCAAAGCTCCCACAAGCATGAAACAAAGGCTCCAAGGATATGGCAGCCTTCCCACATCCCCGGCTGAGCAAATGGAAACACTTCCCAAAAGCACATGCTGTAAAGGCTGTCCTTGGTGGTTCTGTGGGCTCAAGGCTATGTGCCAAGATGTGCTAAGCAGCTTGAACAGCAACCACTCCTGCACGAGCCCTTTCACCCTCTCCCCTGGCTCAGGGCACCTACGTAGGACCAGAAATGAGAAGGGATAGTTAAACTCAGGGATAACTAAACTCCTTGAGAGCCAAGGAAAGGCACCCTAATCCTGACAGGCTGAAAAGTACTTTTTAACATCTTGTGACACAGTAGCTCCCAGAGCAGTGATAGAGCTCATCCAGATTCCCATCCTGGGCTGGAGCTGGCTTGTAACACCCCCAATGGCTTCATTAACATCTGTGCCAGTGCCCAGTTCTCCAGCACAGGATCCCTGGACAGTCCTCTGGAGACAGCTCCTGCCATCACTGAAGCCAACCTCCAAGTAAAGGTTGCCTGAAGTCCTTGAGGAGAGGAACTTATCACAAGAAACCTGGTAGAAACAGCAGCAGCTTTGTTTCTGTTTTGCTTTCAAAGGGTAAGCACCTTTTTCTCTCCCTATCCTACTGCTGTAGTACAGTTTGTACATCCCATCATTCAGCTGTCTGACAAATTATTTCACAGTGTTCTTTATCCATAGCTGTGACAAGCAAATTATACTGATTTAGGCTCATCTACCTTGGTCTCCAGGGATGCTGGATATTAAACTCTGAACTGGCGCCTGAAGCACTGTCACCACTCAGCATGAAGGAAGATGCTGGGATGGCTTCCCTACTCAACAAAAAAAGGCTGCTCTATTCAGGAGAGGAACTAAAATATGACGAAGGGAGCACCACATTACTCATTCCTTCTGCAGAAATGAGGCTCATCTTAGCCACAGCAACAGCATTTACTCCAAATGGCAGGTCTGCAACTTCACCACTGGCTCCAAAAAATACTCTACATCTTTCCTTCCTGATACACAGTAAGTCCTATGAGATCCTGCAGGCTCCATTACCCCACTTGGTGGCAGCCAAACTGCCTAACCATGCCCATAAAATAATCAACAGGCACCACACATGAAAGGGAGAGAGCACGGCTGGCCTTTCAGTGAAGCCAGGTTTGCCCAGCCAGAATGAAGGATTCATAGAATATCCTCAGTTGGAAGGGACTCACAAGATCATCAAAGTCCAACTCCTGGCCCTGTACAGGACAACCCCAAAAATTACAGCATTGAGAGCATTACCTAAGTGCTTGAGCTCTGGCAGGCTTAGTGCCATGGCCAGTTCTCTGGAAAACCTGTTCCACTGTCCAGCAACTCTGGGTGAAGAACCTTTTCCTAATATCCAGCCTAAACCTCTCTTGAAAAAAAAAAAAAAAAAAAAAAATTAAAAGAAAACCTGAACACTGGCCTACCCCTCAGCTGAGCATTGTTTGGGCACTGCCATGGGCAACTCGGCGAGTGCACTGAGTATTTTCCTATTTACATATATGCACAGGAAAGAACAGGACAAAACCAGTCTGCTAGTTCTTCCTTCTAGGAAGGTGGGACTGCCCTCCCACCACTAATGCTGAAACCCTCTTCAAAAGGGATCAGTGCAAAAGTTATTTATTTTTTCTAAAAGCAGCTGGGTCTTTATTTGGTATGATAAATGCAGACCTGCCACAGGCCAGGCTTGCTGGGAGTGCTAAGGTTAAGGTGCAACTGCACATCTATCCTCACAATCAAGTTAAGCTTGCAGCCCATTTTCAACATAAGCCTACTCTAGCAAAACAATTTGTCCTTTAATCAAAGCAACAATGACAGGCTCCCAGACTCCAGCTATTTTAAATGCACTCAGATGGGTCCAGATAATTGTTGGTGAGTAAAGAAAAGCTTTGAAGTTCTTGAATCCAGCAACAAAAGCTGAGCCATGTGAGGAAAGAGGCATGGCTGGCAGGCTAGCTGCTGCTGCTGCCATCTCCTCATGGGAATTTGTAACTCTTCTATTAAATCCTTCTCAAAGGTGCTTTCTTCTTCTCCTCTCTCTGTAACCCTCATGTAAGAGCCCCTCAAGAGCCTAACAACAGGATTAATGTTTTTATATACAAGAAGGTAATTTAGAGCCTTGCCCTCTGTATTCCTAAAGCCAGTATTAAAACACTTATTTGATGTGGAAGATTCCTTAAAATTATCATGAATATGATGCAATTGACCTTATCTGCAATACAGAATCATATCCTGTCTTTTAAGTACCAAGGGTTATGCCAAGCATTGAAAAAGTTTTTCTTTCCAAAGTCCTAAAGAAAAAAATCTCAAGTACCTCCTAACAAATGACCAGATGACTGAGACATAAGTACAAGCCCAATATTAAGATCTGACTTCCCTGTAGGATACGTTTGTTAATGTAATCTGCAACATATCTACTAAAAATGAGAAAACAAGTGAATGAAATTGAGAATAGCAGGCTATTCAAAACTAAATGCAGAATATAATTTAGTTTCATTAGAAATACTTGATAAGCTGCATCTTTAGCTCAAATACATTCTTAATAATAAAATTAAATTCAAGCATAAACTAATGTCAAGAGCACCTTTTGTCAACTGGATGCACTTCCTTTTGCAAAAATGAAATTCAAACAAGACTGCTATTTTTCAACTGTAGACATCACAATACAGTGGCATCAAATAAAGTCTGCTATTATATGAATAATATTATCTACTATGCATTAATATAAATATACATCAATAGGGAAAAAAATCTGGGCCAAGAGCACTTTAGCAAAAAAAAGTTACTCTTGGCACCATCTGAGTACTTGGGAACAGTCTGGATAATGCTGGATGGGCAAGCCTAAAGCCTATATATAAATTAAGAATAAAAACTGGAAGTGTTTTCACTTGAAAAGCAACCAAGAAGTTTAAGGCACTCCCACCTATACATTAATTTGTTCCATAAACAAAGGAAAGACAGATTTTGACACCTTTTATGTCAAAATTAAGAGGGCATCATACAGTATCATAGAAGCAGCATAAATTCTGCACTCAGATTTTCTTTAGTTTTAAGCTTCCTGAATACTTGAACCTGTAGTCCATCCAGTCAGGTGTCCAGTCCATCCAGTTTTATCTTCACTTCAAACATGGTTTGCCTTTCAGGCAGGCTAACGATTTGGTTTTTGTTTTGCCCCCCATCGGCATCTCGGTGCATTTGGATGAATCACACCAGTTGATCTTCATACTACATGAAGCACCTGCAGAAAAATATCCTGCATGTATTGCATATATTTATGTCCATGGTATGGTATTACCTGCCAAAATAAGGATAAGCTACAGAAACCTCAGAAGAACTATGCACACAGGAATGCCTCTGGATTTTGTAGATGAAAAGGAACTGTCTGATCTAGGAAATGTCACTAGTAACAAACCCACTTTCAGAGTATCTCAAGCAACATGTACAGAACAAGAGTAATGCCTTTTTTCCTGATGTTTAAAAGAAACATTATCCTTCTCACCAGTTAATGGAAGCCTGCCTTGCAAGATAAATTCCTGTTGAATGCTGTTTCTCAGGACACAATCTGATATAGATGTATGGATGCGGGAGCAGGGGGTTTTCAATGACAAAAAGGAATACAGGCAAAGGTCATATGCAGATTTATGAAAAATAAATTTATTACATAACACCTTGCTTTAACAATGTTTGATTTTCTTTTTTACTCAGAATACTTGTGTCATTCATGTAAAATAGTTTGATACAGTACATTGTATGTAAGTTTTTCCTCATAAATTCTAAGGCTCTCCTAACATCTTGTTCCTCTGCAGTAGGAATGGCACCCCTAAACAACGTGCGAACATTAAAAAAAATTTAACTGAACAAAATTTAAAATCCACTACACCAAGCTGGTTCTCAAAAATCATGACAAAATATCTGAATGGATGCCGCACCTTTTTAGGAAATATCACTCATGCTTTTTTAATCCCAAAGCATGCTCACAAATCATTAACACCAACAGGAAAAAAATAAAACACTGTCTATGACAATCATTTTAGTTTGTTTGCTGAACCAAACATGTTTATATCAATGACAACATACTTATTTTACTATCAAATAGCAGCTTTAATACCAGTCAAGTCATAGATTTCAAAACAAAAACAAAAACTTATGTTGGAAATAAATCTTTGGGACGCTTGTAATTGCTGGGAAAAAATGCAAACGCTTCCATGTTCTTAAAAAAATCTCGTTGTAGCAATCATGTCGGTCATAAAACATTGATCTAGCTGGAAAATGAACCAACCCACAAAAGTCACTAAAAATAAATGTCCATCAAAACTGTCTGAGAGTTACGGTTAGTTTGCTTTTTTGCCGTGGTAACATATACTGTATGCTTCAAGTACCAGTTTAAAGATGTCATGTACTATTGGTCAGATGAAGTTGTTACATCAAGAGAATTCACCACATACGACAACAAAAATGCTTGCCCCTAGCACATTTCACAGCTTCACCTGCTACAGACTGTCACTGAAAAAAATGCATCGGTCAGTCTGAACCATGTCAAGTAAACTACAGAAGTAGCATATCCACAACACAAACCGTGCTAGCACTTTCTTTCCAAGTCTAACCCCAAAACCAGGTACAACGTGGGAGCCCCCCCTCGGCCCCGTGGCAGGGGGTGGCTCGTGGCGGTGGGACAGGTGGGAGGTGTGGTTGTACAGTACATTCTCTGGCCCAAGCCGGGCTCCTGGCACGCAGCTGCGGCCGGTCCTGCAGCATCAGCGACAGCGCATCGACGGCACCGGGTGCGGCTCAGTACCGGTGGGTCTGGTGCGAGTACTGCGGCGGCTGCTGGGAGGTAGCTGAGTATCCCATGCTGCTCTGTGGCTGCGATGTGCTTGGTCCGGGGTTGGGGTAGGCAGCATGGGGGTTGGAACGCTGCAGGGGGGAAGCACAGACACACAGCCCTTCGTAACACGGACACAGCGACACTATTTCACCTACTGACTCATTTCTTCAGAGGCACCCAGCACACACAGTCTCAAAGCAGCTGAACTTCCAGGCTTTGTTTCACTAACTCTGGTTACAGCAGGTAAAAGACATCAGGAATACCAGATTAGAAAGTGACAGCTGCCAGCCTTCTGCTATCCACCCTAATGGGAATCTTCACCCATCACAGTCAAACCTCCAGCCAACTCTCCAGATGGCTACTGTGCACCTGCACACGACACTGGGCAACCACCACTCACAGCAGTTATCTTCCCCACTTGCTCCCTTCTCCTAGCAGGAAAGTAAGGCTGCAGTGGAGGTCCAGGTGAGGCATCTTACTGCTGATGAGCCACTGCCTTATTCTGGAGATTTTCACACGTAAGAGGACATACTTGCCACCCTTCTGTGTGACCTAGGAGTACAGGCTGAGTGCACTGTGACTGGGCTAAGGTGTCACCTATCAGCACCTATAAAAATGCTAAAAGGAGAGTTTAAAGACAACAGCGAAATGTTCCTCAGTAGAACCAGATATTTCAGGGAAAATGTCCTTAGGTTGTGGCTTGGAAATTTCAGATGGGACACAGAAGGAAGGACCAGTACAGCACTGGAAGAACCTGCCCATAGAGTCTGTGAGCTCTTTCTCTCTATGAAGGTTTTTAAGACTCAGCTTAACAAATCTATGCTAATCTGAGTGAGTCAGAACTAGCAACAGCCCTGCTCCACGTGGGATATTTGACTAGATGGTTTCCAGAGGCCCCTTTCAACCAACTCCCACAATTATTTGAGTAGAGAAACAAGAAGCCCTCAGCAAACCAGGAACTGCCTACTTCAATTTTAACCTAAAAGTTATTATTTACTGATCATGTGTTATAAAGGAAAGCAGGACTGCCTATGAGATTTGCAGGAAATATCTGACCACATAGTAACATTTAACATTTCATTAAACTAACACAAGTTCAGTACATTACTGCACTGGTTTACATGCCCTCACAAACTTTGCAGCATTTAGAAACTGTGTAGCTTCTGAATACTTGATATCACAGGACATATGTTTTTTAGGAAAAGCTGCTACTAGAAGAGGACTGAAAGCTTTACTAAAAAGTAACTAATCCAGGACTAGGGCACTGCTACTGAGACCTGAATAGGAAAAAACTGTGGTGAACCAACACCCTAAGAAAGTAAAATATTAAGTCACAACATAAAATAAAAACCCGAAATTTTTCTTGTACAGCATTTAGAACAGAAGCTACACCCAGGAAGCTGAGATGATGGCAGAAATAAAAAAGGCATACTCTACTTGTTAACACACACTCACAGGACTGAGCTAATGTCTCTCTTAGAGAAAAGACGGAGAAACGGCTGGACCAGCACTTAATGTCAGTGGGAACAGACCGGCACTGCTGATCCACACCATTAGCACAGTGACTGAACTTTGTGGACATTTGCCTTCAGCCTTGAGAAGAAGACTAAGTCACACATCAATAGAAGGGTCACAGGTCTGGGTCACCCTTCTCCATGTTACAAACAGAGGATGCACTTCAAGAAGTCTTGAATGTTGGTTTTGCCCATGTGTGGCTCCTGTATGTAGGAAACCATCACAAGTTTAACCATTTAAAACTGACCACTCATTTCAGTTCTAAAACACTCCTTGCATCCTGACTTCTAAAACAGATCTTAAGACAGAGGCAATGAAAAATCAGATTCCTTCATGACACCAGAACAACAAATGGCTTTTGTTTAAGAAAAAAACTAACTATCCAATCCTTTCTAAACACTATTAAGCACCCAAAGGGTTATCCCAAGCTCCAGCCTGAATTGCTCCAGCCTGCTTAATCACATTGCCTTTGGAAGTGTCACATTGCAGATTTAAACAAGGAGGCAAGCCTGTGTGCCATGTGTACTATTTTTATGCATGGCAGTAAAGGATATGAGGTCAATGTGCCCTGCAGAGTAATTTGACTTCTGAGTGAATGCAGAAACTGTCTTAGTGTTCCTTGCCCAGGAGATGGCAATCCTTCTTCACAAGCTTTATATGGGGAATTTGAGCAAATCAAATGAAGAACAAAGGAACAGGTGTTTGATTAAAACAGAGGGCTGTATTGTAATGTTTGTTTTCCCTCTCCTCAAGCTGCTGGATCAGAAGCAAAAAATTTGAGGAATTTTTTTCAGGGAGACCTGAAACCATCAGTTGGAAACTCTTAACTGCTTTTGTTCTAGTGCTGGCAAGTTCAGGTCTCCTCTCTTTGTCTTCCAGACACCTTAATCAGAATAAATCTACTGACTGCCTCTTTGCAAGGCTAGGGGGAAAAGGATATATTTTTTTGAAAACCAGAGAGACTGTCTCTCCTAGAGACAGCAGAAAGATTGGTCAGGAGCAGTCAAGTTACCAGTAAGAGCTCCTGAGACAGAAAAACAGCAGTTGTCATTATCTTAAGGGAAAAGTAGTCTTAAATTAATGTTTGTCAACAAGGGCTCTCCCCAGCTGTAATCCCAGGATGTATCTTGAGTACAAAAATTCTGATGAGCACAAATTGAGAACAAATCAATACCAACTCCGGCCAAGCAATTTGAGTCCTCTGACTTGTCAGCCAGCAAACCTCAGCTCTGGCTCACAGAACTAGGAGCTGAAGTTTGTTCAAAATGCCACAAATGCAGCAGCAAAATGAGGTGAAGGGCATGTAAATAGGGCATGTAAATGGGGCTCCCTGACACAGTACACACAACCTCTGAATCAACCTCCTTAGATGTGTGACTCCACCCGAGGGCAAGATTAAGAAAGTTACAGCTGCATTTGCCTTCTGCTCTGTGTGTGTGTTTTTCAGAAGTGGAAGAAAGAGACAATTAAAAGGCCAAAACAGCAATTGACTGCAGCTTGCCAGACTGAAAGGGATGAAACCCCTGTAAGAGTGCCTGTGATGGATAATCCTACTAAAAGATGACATTTATACTTAGAGGCACCCCACCCTGCAGAACTATAGTTAAGGCTCACCACCATCTCAAACAGCTCTAAAAATGCATATTGTTCATGGAGAATGACTAGCAAACTGATGTGTTATTGATGTCCTGGGATAAACTGAACAAAGGCACTTGGGGACTATATGAAGGGTGTCACAAAAAAGCTCCTGAAAATGATCTTTCTATTTTTGTAGTACTTTCAAATTTTGGCCAATGCTGAGAGTACACAGACTTAGGTAAGTATGAAGGTAATGCCCCCAGGCAGCTTCTGAAGCTATCTGGTACTCTGAGGAACAAACTGTGAAACTCAATGTTTCAAAGCCTACTGGTGGTTCATGGAGAAGCTGTATCCAACTGAAAGGCAAGTGGACAGCAGCAGCTTTACTGACTCTGTTTTTTAACTCTCCCTATGTTTTGCTACAGACTGTAAGCCCAGCTAAGTGGATTTCCATTATCAGGCTCTCACATTTCGGTATCAACATTTAAATTAACTGAAAACATTGCCAGTAGTTTCCAGCTTCCCCCCAGGCCATCCAAGACTGTCTGGCCACCTGTACTGCACATTCCATGTGAACCAGTATGCAATGGTTAGTTCCTGCAGGCTAACATTTCCAGCAGCATGCCTCCTCTTGAAATCACCTATTCCCTGCTGTTCTCCAGCTGCTCCTATGAATCATTTGAAGGCTTCCCTGCTCCTCTTTTGTAACTTCTAAGCTTGTATTAACTAAAGGTTCTGTCCTTAACCCTCTTCCTCCCCCATCTCCAGTAGTAGCCCTATCCAAACCCAAAAAATCAGGTATTATTTGTTGGTATGACAAAGATATTCCTATACTCCAGGCTATGATTTTTAAATGTTTGACCACAAGCTCAAATGCAGGAAGGCCAGAAGACATTTTTCATGTTTTCCTTTAAGTGCTTTTTCCCAATGCGCCTCCTCATCTTCCGCACTCATTGACTGCCACCACCTCACCTGTCCTCAGATCTGCAATATTTGGTTTACTCAACCTCGAATCTCCCTTGATCTTCAAAAAAGATCATGACAACATCATGCCATCATGCCAAGTCTTTGTCATCCAAAATACTGTTTCTGCATCCATTAAACCAACTAAAACACTTGTTCAGATTTTTATTTCACAGCTCTTTTACTGCAACATCCTCTGCCACCTACCACTGCAGGTTTGTTCAAGCAAGAAATGGCATTTTTAGGTGATACAGAACACAGCGTAACAGGCTCCTGGTCCATAACCATTAGCATTCCCTAATATGAAGGTGATAATTAGTAACTCTAATAATGTCTGATCCTAATTTCTTTACTGCTAAAACAAAGAACATCAGGATATCAACAAATCATCAACTAAATGAATCTGTAAAAAAAAAAATCAAAATATTCCAAAAAGTAACAGTTAACACAGTGACATTTACAAAATTACTTTTATAGTTTGAAGAAACACTGGTCTAAACATGAAAAGCAAATACACAATATGTGAATAAAACAAAATACCTGATAGTCTGAGGTCATAATAAGTCCACCTGAGGTAGTGGTAGGAGGAACAACTCTCACTTTTTTCAGTGGGGGTCCCTGTGTGTGACTGTTGTCTTGGTTCCCTGGATGACCAGTTCCATTAGTATGGTTATTGCCCTGCTGCTGCTGCTGGTTCTTCTCAATTGTTTAAACACAAAGAAAAATTTCAACTCAAAAGCAGTACATGAGATAACACAAAATCAGGAAATAGTGTAAAAGCCAGTGAAACATGATTATACTGTTCTTCTAGTACTTACTTTGTCTCCTTTATCATCTGGTTCTTCTTCTGTTAAAAATTCTCGTTTTGGGTAAGGGATTTGACAACCTGCAAAAACACTGTCCCCCAAAAAAGTCTATTTATCACTGTATTAGAACAGAAGGGTTAGACCCGTAAGATTCACACTTTACCCGTGATAGTTTCAAGCTGCCTAAGCCTTTAATACCTGTAACTAAGGGAGACATTCTCCCTGTCTATCACCATATTCTAAACTTTATAGAAACATATCCACATTTGATTTTAATGTTCATTTGACTCTTACATACTAACTTAAGCTAGCAATTTTTTTGTTGGTTAGAAAGGTACGTCACTTGTTAGGTGTCTACAAAGGCACAAAGAGCTATCTCACTGTAGCTATTACGTAATTCACAGTCTCAGGACTAACTAAAAATATTCCTTGAAACTTCACTGACTATTAAAAAACACCACCTGGAAAAAAGGTTTAAAAGTAACTAGCAATTTCACCTACAACTCATATCTCACAGTCCACATGGATGTGCTACTTCTAGTCCAAGCTAATATTTACCTGCCTTTTATTAGTAGAATGTATTTAGAATAAAATCTCTGTACACCTGTTAGCAATACTCATTGTGTATTCACATTGAAACATCAACCTAAATTTGAGGAAAAAACCAAACACTATCCTAAAAGCAGTTTCTGCAACAGCCAATCATTCACATGACTTTAAATCACAGAGACAGCTCAGGAGATGCTATAAATAATCCAGCAGGCTTTAGTGAAATAATTTCATTTTTAATTAATTCCTTATAAGTATACATATTTTATAAATTCTTCCCCACATAAGGGTAGAGAATCACAGTCAGGATGCACTAATAGCTTTCCTAAAAGCGTGTACAGTCAGGGTCTCTGGCTAGCCTTTTGGAAGAAGGGCTTAATTTTTAATGAAATCATTCATTGTCCATATATTTTCTCCCTTTTGTAAATCTGCCTGTGCAAACAAAAAAGAGGAGTGTCTACAGAAAATGGATTTAAGTTGTTAAGGATGACAGCACCGAGACACACACTGAGACTTTCCCCACCCAGTGAATTTACAACAAAGGCTAAGACAAAAATGTAAACTAATTAGAGACTGTCATCTGGCATTCTGAGGCAGAGAAGCGGACCTGCGGGCACTTAGCAGTTGTCTACCAAGATCTGTAGCATGCATAATCAACCTGTCAGTGAGTAACAAGATTAGTGCCGCAACTAATAGGATCAAAGTTCCATAAAGCAAGAGATTAATAAAAATGCTACTTAATTTTAAAAACCACGAATGGCATTTTAGTGGTTATAGCTTTCTTCGGTTGTTAGGCAGTATTTAGCTCATATTCACAAACATACTTAGGGCAGAGAGAAAGCACAGTTCTAAAGCACCTCTGAATGCACTGATAGGTTAATAAACTGACCACTTACTCGGATGTGGGAAGAGGATCTTCCAAGAAGTAAGGATCCTGCATAGCCTGTTCTGAGGTAATTCTCTTTATTGGATCCATAGTGAGCAATTTCTGAAGCTGAAAAAAAAAGAAGAAAGAAAAAAAACATCTTTACATTACCAAAACCATTTATAGAAACTTCACTGTATTCCTGAAAGTTAAGATGATACAAATGTGTCTGAACTCAAAAACCTAACCCTAAATGGCATAACCACATTCTTCTCCCCTGTTAAAACAGTAATTTCATTTCCTATCAAAGGAAACCTATTTTCACTTGCAAAGTCCAGGACTTTCAGTTCCAGTCACAAGTGTTCTATCAAAACCATTCAAAAAGTTTCCACAATGTACCAGCACCTTTAATCACAAAATAATTTGACCTTTTGAGGTCAGTTAGTCCAGTCCTCTGCCATGGGCAGGGACACCTTTAACTAGACCAGGTTGCTCAGAGCCCTGTCCAGCCTGACCTTGAACACTACCAACGATGGGGCATTCTGAACTTTGTGCAATTTGTTCCAGTGCTTCACCACTCTCTGAATAAAGAATTTCTTCCTAATATTCAATCTAAATCTACCTTCTTTCATTAGAAAGCCATTATGTCTTGTTCTATCAAAAGAATGCTCCTCTCCAGCTTTCTTGGACTTTCCAAGTACTGAAAGGTGCTATAAGGTCTTCTGGGAACCTTCTCCAGGCTGAACAAGCCCTGCTCTCACACAGCCTGTCTTCAGAGGAGGGGTGCTCCAGACCTCTGATCACCTTAATGGCCCTCCCCTGGACACAGCAACCCAGATGAGGCCTTGTGAACTAGGAACACCAGAGCATAACTATTTTATTTAGCTCTAGCGCAGAGTTGCAGTGATGCATTCTTAAAACTACATGTTTCTTATTCAAGAAGTCTGGTGTACATGCATATACTTCTCTCCATCCACCCAAACAGCTGTGGAATACAGCTGTGCTGGACAAGCAACATGAGATAACCTTCAGATACCACACAAAAAAATAGTGAGTTTTCATGTTTCACCAGCAGTGTCCAAGGCAAAACTACAGCATGACATATTGTCCAAGACCTGAAAACAAATGCTTCACGTTTAACATGTAGTGGGTTTTTTTTAACAAGAAAATACCTTAGTAAATAGAATTAAATTTACATTTCCTATTCACACTTTCTGATAGGATTCATACATTCACCTTTTTAAAAAGATCCCCTGTCGTGATCTAAATCTGAACTGGTCATCTCCTTTCACTAGGAGAAATTCATAACTGCATGTGAGAATTCATAACTGCAATGCAAATTTCCATACTTCAAAAGCTGAGGCTGAGGAAGTACATTTCCCTCTTCAGCCTTCAGTTTTGACAGCATGGTTAAGAACTTGATAACTATGAATTACCACCATCAATCCAGTTTTATTTTTCACATCATCCACAGGAACTCACAGTAAGTTTTTTCAGCTCTCTGAGTCTACATTAAGTTTTTATAGAATAGCATATTGAACAAGCCAGTTCTTACTCTCTCAAAAAGCATTGCCAAGAGCCAGAAAAGGCAAAACATGACAAAGAACTGCCAACACACAGAAAAACACAAATAAAAAGCACTACAAAATACTAGCATAATTTGTGGTGATTGGATTCTAGAGCTGTTCATCACATGATGAGTCTTGGTCGTGATCAGCCATACAAAAAGAAATGAAAATAACTGTGCAACCAGTATCCACCCAAGGGATCAAAACTTTGGTTCTGCTCCCTTGTACAGGTGCCACACAGAAGTGAACCGTCTAAATATTATTACAAATATTTTCTATTTTAAAAACTGCTTGATGTAAAGATCACCTTACTAAATGACACAATTTCATACATCATTAATTAATGGGACAATCACTACAGTTTATATGGACCAAAGTAACCACATGGAAGATCAAAAAAATCAGGTAGAAATTTTTAAAAGTAAAAATAAGCTATTGAAAGTATGTAAAGCAGCAAAATGATGAAGGATTGCAGCAACACTGCAAATGTAACTACAGGCTAACACAAGTATAACATGACTTAAAGAACAAAAACTTCAAAATTGCTTGATACTGAACCTAATCCAGTGAATGATACTCAGAATCATTTTATCAATGTAAGAAGATATTTCACCAATATGAGAAGATAAAGTGATTTTGCAATTTTCAGATTGCAGAGTATCAATTATTCCTAACTTAATTTATAAAGTTAGTTACAGTAGACTTGACACCAGGTCAACTGTTACTTGAAACAACTGTAGCATATATGAGGAATTTGACTTTTTTATGTCTGCAGGAACTTACCAAGTGGAATGCCTTACTATCTGGTTTAACTTTATGTTTTTCCATATATTTGATAAGGCTGCAGTTGGTATACCTAGAAAGGAAACAGAAGTGGTATTTCTAATATGCAAAACATTGATATTGCAAAGTTTTCCTGGTAGCCACAAAACATATTAATAAGAAAAGTTTAGTCTCCCTGCAGATCCAATAAGCTGGGAAAAATCACAACTATCAACACCAGAGATTGCTTAAAAATCAGAACTGCAGAAAGGCATGTTTCCCTCACATCCTTATAAAAGCATATCATACCCACACAAAAAGCACACTTTTAACCCACATGCAGACAGCAAACTATCAACTGGATTTAAACTGCCTGGTAGCAATTTTACTACTATACTGTTCGATTCTGTGTATTTCTCATGACAGTGAAGATATATAATCAGCTCATCTGAATGCTCTCCTGCAACCTACAGGCTGCTACAAGAACATTCACATGTTTACTTTTTCTAAAAGAGAAATTCAAACAAAAGGTTTCTAAATGGCTGCAATAGCATGGCAAGTGCAAGAAATATAAGTAACTATACAGCCCCAAATACCTTACCACAGAAATCAGGCAACAGGGTGGCATTTTAAGCACAAGTATTAGCCTGTGGCAACATGACAGCAAAGCTGAAGGGTATTTTTTTCTTTAGTCATTGTAAACTACCCTAGACACCAAACCTAACAATTATTCACACTGTTTGCTGGAAATGGTATAAGGTTACCAGACCCCTTTTAAGCAGCTATTACAGAAAACCATTGCCAGTACCAGAGATTTGGGAACAGCTGTGCTTTGACACACTGTGCTTTGCAAACTTCAGAGCTGCACGGGGTCTAACTGGCATCACCTGTTTCACACCTGCCACCTTACCCTTCACAGCCTCTGGCTACTCTTCTGATCCACACCACCTCAACAGGCCAAGTTCACCATTATGAAACAACTTTATTTTTCATTTTTCACAATCCAAGTCATAACAATTTCATAGTCCTTGTTTGGCATCTACATAGAAAACAATTCAAACTGCAAAAAATTTAGTGTAGGAGAGAGATATAAAATATGCTTTATTAAGAAAGCTCAACCCAGACTTACGTGTTTCTCCGGAAATCTTTCATTAAGGTTGAATGTTCTGGCATCTTTTTTATGTCTTCCCAATCTTTATCTGCAAAGCAGTATTAATTATTTTTCCCCCTTTCTATCTGAGTAAAACAAAGCATTTCCAAGTATCTCCACAGCCTTGATTTTTTTTTTTTAATTCTGCTTCTTTAACCTTGCAGTTTCTTATGTCTTTGTACTCCCTATCTCCTATTCCTTCATCACCTCTTCACAATAAATCATACCAACACCTAAGAGGTTCCAGCTGTGTGCTGATTAACTCAAGAACTTGAAAAAAGGATGCCAGCTACAGTGGCCACAAAACAACGCTGAACAAAAACCCATCAGGCCTTGTGCTTGAACCCCTCAGGACTGTTACTTAATTTATTTAGACAAAGCTGTGATCTCAGGACAGGAATACACAGAACTCCAGCAAACCCTGCCTCCTTCTAAGGGATTCTCTGTTCTGACAGCACTTTTAGTTACAGGAAACTGCCTAGAGGTACTTCAGCAAATAAGATATACTGTTACTAAACAAGAATTTAAGAAAAAGTGAAGTTTGACCACTCAAAATAAAGAATAATTCACCTCAATGTAAACCAAGGCTAAAATGGATTTTAGAATGAAACAAAAAACTCACTACCAGCACCTAACCTCTAATGTCTTAAGCTCCAACTCCTGAAAAGGCTCTGTGGGCAACTAATTTGGTTCAATTCAAATCTTTACTAAGTCTGATCATTACTGCAGAACACTGAGTTTAAAATAATTAAATAAATAAATAATGCATAATTATTTAATTACTTAGTTAAACAAAATACTCTCTTCTTTCCTATCCCATAGACACGAGAAACTGTTTCAGATATGGCAAGTGGCAATTAAAATGCAAAAAATTGCTGCAATTGAATGAAAAGCATTTCTTGATAAAAAACAAAGAACTCCAAAGGTCAAATGCAGACCATTAGAAAGGACTAATTAAACCAATCAGAAAACCAAAATTAAACTATGTGCCACTTATATAAGCTATACAGAACCAGTGTAAAACCCAAACGAACTACGAAAAATACAAAAGGGTAAAATACTAATTCAAAAGCAGAAGGGGACAGTTGAAGAAGCAAAACTAAGGATGCAAAGGTAACATTTTTGTGAATCTCATACAGCAGTACCAAAACAATGAAGTACATATACACCAAAAAAGGCAAAAGCAAAAATAAGAACATGTTTAATAACAAAATTCTAGAACCACCACAAACACAGAGACCACAAAAGTCATGTGAAAGGAAGAGGCAAGTTCAGGGAAAAAACCCAACAACATAATAATAGTTAAACATTAATAGTGGAGCAGGGAACACAAGCAGTGAGGAGAAAGATAAACAAAAAGTAAAAATAAGGTCTCTGTTACTCTGACTCCTGCAATCATGTGAACACTAGAAGACAAAGTATTAACTGAAGAAGCAAGGCAGCCTGCATAAAAACAAAATCTAACCAACAATGAGGGGAAAATGCAACAAATAATATCCCCACTGCAATTTGTCTTGGTTCATACAACCAGTTCTTTCTTCTGTTGTGGAATAAAGAATTGTTTTCTATACCACCAGCTTTCCACCAGGTAGGGGGGAAAAAAACCCAAAACCCTCCATTACTTCCAAATGCTACACTTAATTTTGCATGAGCTAAACAAATGCATAATATTCACTAAATATATATTTTTTTGCTTAGTTTCATTAATCAATCACCTTTCAAATCAATAATCAGTACTGAAGCAATGTTGAAATATTCCTTCTCATTTTTAATCACACAGCATTAAATACAATCTTTTAAAATAATAAAGCATTGGTACATGTATACACAAAGATAACCCTGGCATTAATAAAAGGGAAAATATCTAATTTGACCATTGGATTCTAGATTTATAACTCATGAAATAAAGATTGTGTTTGAACAGCTTTGTTGCTTTGATCAGCTGCCACCTTCATATGCAAAGAAAGCAATATGGATATCTTTCTTTGAACAGTGGTGATAAAAAATACAGTATGTACCTGCAGGAAATCCCATTACATTGAATATTCTGTCCAGCTGGTCATGGTGATAAGGATTACTAGTTTTGATATCTTCTTGTCGACAATGGAATATTGGCTCTGATGTTAGCAGCTCTGCAAATATACACCCTATGGCCCAAATATCTTTAAAAAAGGAGAACAGAAATAAAAGAAGAACAAATGAAACTTTCCAAAACCATCTGGATGAGGTAGAATGTTAGTGCTTAGCTTATCGGAGATAAGGTCAGGTTTCTATTGTAGAAGTGCAATGCTTCCTCAACTTTTTCTTTTAGCTTTCAATGGAGGTACCCAATTCAGAAACTACACAGGAGCTGAGAGAATAGCATAAGAGTTTTTGTGGTGTTTTTGAATTGTAGTTACCACTTAACATTGTAAAAAATTAATCTGGTTAAGAATAAAAGTGAAGGAAACTAAAAAGTGAAGGGTCATGGTCAACACACAAAACACAAAGAAAGTAAAGCCAACCAGCATCTTGCCCTTTTAATGCCACACTGTCCTGACTAAGAAATGTGCAATCACTGATCAGCCAAGTTTAAGTATTAAAGTAGTAATGTAGTATTTAAAAAGTAAATGATCCCAAAATACAAGCTGAGAAGTAGTGGTATTGGTATAAACCAAATGCTATCTATAACATTTAGCAGAAAGATAGTAACATGCAAATTGCTACAAACCCACACACCTCACAACTTTTCCATAACATTCATTTAAATAAACCCCCAAACCCTACAACTTTTCTCTTTTCACTGTTGCTCTCCTATCTAATAGTCAGATTGCCTGAATCTTCCCAGTTGTTTTCTCAATTCTTTTCTGGTATCTACAAACACAATTTTTAACTCAAAGTGGTGCTATACTGAGCCTTGAATGAACAAGGTCATAAATAAGGACAAAAGCAAATAATGCAAACAGCATAATTCCATTACTCAGTGTTTCTACAAAGTCATTTTTTATCTACACTGAAAAAACTGTGTACTAAAGGCTATGGCTGCCCATGCAGTTTCATACACTGCAATCAGAAAAAACAGCAGTAAAGTGAGGGAACATGCAAACACAACAAATCAAGCAGTTTAAAGGAACATATAAAAATTTAACTGATCTATAAAAGAAACACTATTAGCAGAAAAGTAAACAAGAATACATTTAAGGCATAAACATTAGAATTGCTGACAGAAACACAGATATGATCTTTAAAAAAACAAAACAAGAAGAAAAGTTTGAGCTCTGAAGATGACTTTCGGGTTACAGAAACAACCTAGTATGCTGATATACAACCTCCATGTCTGTACAAAGAGGAGTAGCTGCTAGGGAAGTTATTTCCTCCCAGAACTGGTTGCCAGCCTTTAACACATCTTTTAAACCAGGCAGCAAGAGAAAACCTTCTCAGTGCTTTTCCTTACAGTCTCTCTCCCTTCCATACCAAAGCTGATCAATGCAGTAAAAGTGAACCTAATCTCCCTCCAGTTTGCTGCTGGGCTGCTCCCCTATTCTACAGCCCAAAAAAGCTCTGGCCATCTGTCATCTGTCTTTGAAAGACACAGAGAGGCTAAAATGCAGCTTAATTTTACATTTTAGCTTCAGTGCAGCCACAATATTCTCCATTTTGTACATTCTTTATTTCATATATTTATTACACTAAGTAATAACCTCTGCAATAAATTTAATGCACTGTGCCTCACAGTCATCCTAATATGAATTCAACTAGCCGTTCAAAAATGCATTCATATTTTTTTTTTTATAGGCTCTAACAGCATTTATGAAAGTCCTGTGTGAAAGCCACAAACTTAGATTGCATTGCAGGGCATTTGGAGCCAAAACCCAGCAATATATTTCATGTCTATATATAGCCTGAGACCCCAGTAAATGAATCAATTTGTCAAAGATTAGTATTTCTTCAAGAAACAAGTAACATACCTTTAACTTAGCTACTGTTCTTTGAACAATTTATTAAAGCTTTAAAATTTGGGCACAGTTTACATAAAGAACAAAACAGTACATTTTTGTCCAATTTACTTACCAATAGCTTTGGTATAATGCCTTGCTCCAAGAAGCAACTCTGGAGCTCGATACCAGAAGGTTACAACTACTGGATCCAAGTCTGCTAAAGGCTTCAGAGGTGAATTAAATAATCGGGCAAAGCCCATGTCAGCTGCAAAATTCAAAGAGAGATGCTTTAAAATTTGAGAGAAACTAACAATTTTTTTTTTTTTTTAACAAACTGATTGAGTTTACTTGTTAGCACTATCATCACTCCTAAAACAAATGCAAAGGCAGACTGTAGCAGGTATGAACTCTCTGAGTAGATTTTCTTTCTGTAGAAGTTACTGGATGGCCTATGAAGTATATCACCTATGAAGTATATAATTATAAATCATTACTAACACGAGTCCTTTACAACAATGAATTAACCATTGTTCTGAAGAAATGCATCAACTCCTCAGGACAGTGGTAAATCCTGACTCATTTTACCTTGTTTTCTGGTAAAATACTCCCATTATTACAGGATGTTTTTTCACAAAGCAGCAATTTTTAAAGTGAGCAAAATGCAAATTCTGCAAAGGTTAGAATGATTTATAATACATACGTGCACATGACAAAATCTTTCTCTTCATGAATTTAGCTGTGGCAAGACTTCCTTCACACAAAACCAGCACCTAAGCCTACAGCATCTGCCTCTCTGCTGATTTTCTATCAAGATGCAATTCCAATATCAATATACCAGTGCTGAACACCATTCAGACTATGATTTTAAAATTTTGGTTGTGGGCATTATATCATTAAAAACTGCTTTCTAGCATTTGTAGTGTACAACTTCCTAGAAAGTTGTCTGAACAACTAAATATAAGTCATACAGGAAAAAATGGGCAGAGACTAAAATATGCAGCTTCTCCCATGAAATTGCTTTCCTCATCCACCAACCATGAATCCCAAGACAGAGGGACCCTATCATGTAGGGATATTCATATGCTGAGAAAGACTTGAATGAAATGAGATGAGTAGCTACCCTGAGGGAAAAGGACCTGCATGTTCAATAAGGGAATACTGCAGTGTAAATACAGGACTCTAACGTGACTACACAAACCTTAAATATTTTTTCATATGCATTCCTATTTATGATTGCTTTAATGCATTTAAAAAGAGAAACATTTTACAGTTTCCTACACTAAAATATCAATTACTCAAAATTGGTCAAGTCACTAATAACTATGAATAAGGAAAGTTGTTGGCAGAAAGTGAATTTATGACCCAAAATGACACAAAACGCCTATAAAAGTTATTTTAAGTTAAATACCAGTTATGTATTTTTTAGAAAAATTAGTTACACTGGAAAAGTGGAAGCCCTTGGTATGTGTGTAACTTCTGCATTCTTTTACTGCTGTGGCAATCTCAAGAAAATAAAATAAAAAAAAAATCTACATTTTGATAACACACTTCAAAATCCAAGGTTCCCCTCCCTCTTGCCCTGCTGGGAATGGATGGCTCAGAGGACTGGTGGCCCAATACAGAATCTTTCACCTGTCCATTAACAGAGTCTGACTCAAGTTATTCTTAAATGAATTCAAAACTATGAATTAAGAAATAAATGGGTGGTCTATGTGCAATTACTAGCAAGTAGTTGTGTACAGCAAATATCACCACCACTGTCGAAAGTGAGTCCAGAGGATGACCTACATGCTTTGTTTTGGAAGAAACCCTCCATGAAGAGTAAGGTAATATGAAGAAACTTTCTCTTCTGTTGTCCGTGCTGTACCTGTTTTCTGTGCAGACCTCAATCCCTACTGCCAACCTTAAAAGCTCAGAAAGGCATTAAAAACTTTCAGAGTAGGATCTGGAGAAGCATTCAACCCTGGCCCATTGCTCCCTGGATTCCAAAGAACAAGGGAAGGCCTAGAACAGCACTGAACGCTCCCAGAAAATCCTACCCTGAATCATTCTACTAGTGACTAACAATATAGTTCAGATCAACAAAACACTAAGAGAACAGAGCAACAATGCAGAAGAATAATCTCACAAAAGAAAGCCAGAGGGAAGTGAAAAAAAGATAAACTAGCTTTAAAAAACCCTTCCAAATGGGGCTGCATTACCATAGCTAATGCAAGCAGGCTGTGCATTAGTAGCCTGCTATTACAGCACTGCCATAATAATGCACAGTCTGGTACAGTTTATTATTGTTAGACTACTGTTAATTTTTATTTATGTATTTAGTTTAAAACAACTGAACGTCTACAAATCATGCTCTCACTCCAAACAGTAACTCCCACCAGAAAATGTTACAATAGTGTGGAAGTGTTGGGTCCTTTCTAACCTGGTGAACCCCAGGCTAGGCATTTAGCATCAGCTATTAGCTCTCACTAAACATTTCAGATGGATTTCTGTGTTTTCTGCACTTTTAAGATCCCTTGTGTTCATCTCCAAGGGACCTCCTCCTTCAAGAATATTTTGTAGGCTGAATGCCATCTTTGATTCCATTATAAGATCTAAGGTTTGTAGCAATGAGCAGTTCCCTATTTAGATTTTTATAAGCAGCAGCAAGATGTCATGGCATTAGAGGTAAATGGAGGAAATTTTAAAACCCCATTTCTTTCTCCTCCTTTCCTCCTAGCTAGCTGTCATCTTTAACCCCACATGAAAATCCCCCACCCCACACAAACACCCACTTAAGCAAAATATAATGACATTTTCCACTTTTTATTGATGAGGCTACAGCATTTCATTGTCAGAACTGGTACATGGGGCTAATATGATGAAGCCAGTCACTCAGAAAACAGCATTTAGGCAATGTGCCCAGGCACATACTGGTATTACAGTGACTACTTTAGGTGGTACAACTGCACCTTCAGAACATTCTAACTTAAATGCTACACTGGGACTTATCAAAGATATAAACATACCAATTTTTACTCTTCCTCGCTCAGGACCTTCACCCATAACTAAAATATTAGCAGGTTTCTGTGGAAAAAAAAATAAATATACAATACATATACCACGATAAACCTAAACATTAGTCTCTGAAAAGTTAATCAAGCTTTGTTTTGCCAGTTTTAAACCAACTTTGTTTTGATAAAAATGACAAGTTTCTCCATCACAATAACGCTGTGCAAGGACCCAGACACAGGCTCTCCCTGACTGCATCTTCCTCACCTTTCTTCTTGGCATTGCTGTGCTCCAGCAGCACATTCCCTACTGACACCCTGGTGTCTGTCCTCAACACGCACGAGCTGGCAGCCACCAAGCTGCTGGGATTTCTACCCAAATTGCCCTAGATCCTTCCAGTGGGAGGCAGTCCCACTGCTGCCCACCACCCCAACCACAGGGATGGGAAGCCAGCTCTACAGCAAGTTATTCCCAGGGTAATTAGGAACATTTGCAGATACATCACACAAAAAATACAGATGAAACATTACCATATCACTTGATAGTGGAGAGAACACTCATCTAAATTCTTCCTATTTACAAGTGTTTACCAATTCACACATCTGCAAAACTGGAAAGCACTGCCTTTATGTTACTTTTCTGTCTTTCCTTTGTTTCTTTTACTATGGAGGCACATTAAAGAACTGAGCTAGAGTCTGGCTGGTTAGAAACATAACTCACTTTATAATCCTCTATTTTCTGCTGTCCTGTTTCTCATAATCCATTCTCAGCATCTGTAGTCACAGGATTCCTCAACTCCGAACACAGTTTATATAATAAAACCTACAGTGCTTATTTGGAGGGAAAAAAAATAAAGAAACTCACAACTAAAGCTGATAACATATGCCAGACTTATTCTCAAATGGAGTGATTTAGATACCCATTCATTCTGTAAATCCTGGATAAAACATGAATTCCTATTCAGTTGCGACCTGTAAGATTGTAATAAGGCTGAGTTACAGCTCTTGCTTTGCTTTTCCAGTTTAAATTGATCTGAAGGTAAGAGTACCTAAGCAAAACAGCTTAGACCACCTAAAAGTTAACGTAATAAATCCTAGTATCTTCGTGCGATTTTCTAAATACATTCTAGGATATTCTAAAGCCTTCCTGAATCTATCAGGCTCTAATGTAAACACACATAAAAAGAGACAGAAGACCACAATATGTATCAACCTAGAAGTAACTGCTATTATGCAAAAACGAGGTAGAAAAAATTAGTACTCGCGCAAAAAAATTCCTTCAGAAATTATATTATTGTTGTTTATGAAAGGCTGCAAAATGGATTTCTGAAACTCTACAATCCTTGGACAAAATATGTAAAAAAAATCTGAGGTGTTGCATTTCTGAGAACAGGTTAAGGATAGAAGGTATTATCAAAAATGTGGTCAAAAAAGGTAAGATATACTCCATTGTCTTTCCAACAGCACGAACAGATCCAGCTTGTAATGTATTACCTCTGTGATTTCCAGAAGAAATTGCTCCCCACACCTCCACCACCCCCTTTTGCTTTCTTTTTAAACAAAAGCATACATTCCAGATTAAGTACTGCTTCAGCATTAAAAAATGCAGACTGTGGGCACACAGCTCTCAAAGCATTCCATTTAGATTGCTTCAACAAAAGTCCTAGAAATAAACAAACAGCATACATCTTTAAATTCATAGTTAGTGCTGAACTTTATAGCAGTTCAATCTGCTAGGTATGAAAACACATAATTTCACCAAAGAAATCTTTCTATTGCTACACTGTGACTCAAAGAACATAACCACATATTTTACAAAACCTGCTTCAATATATATGGGGTGTTAAGCTACATGTCTAATTACCATGTTTTCATTAGGGCTAACAATACATTACACAGGTGCTAAAATTTCTCAGATATGTAATACATGGACATAATACATAAAGTTTCCCCCCTTCAAGTTCACAAGTTGAGAATACTCTACAAAAATGCTTTTAACATCCTCATTATACTTTCACCTTAAAACATTTTACTGTTTGTATTTTGGTAAGGACAAAAAGTCCTATTCGCACAAAGACTGCATTATACCAGATGACTAATCAGTACAGCACTGAGTAACAATTCCTGCAACAAAAATCTCCTACCCTAAGGTCAAGGCAGGTAGAGATGAGAAAGCACAGTAAGACAGTACTAGTTAGCAAAGTAAGTATCAACAGCTTGATTTACACTCAAATTTCAGAAGTTACAGAATATACTTAACAATAGAGACAATTTAGAAATCTGTGTAGGAGTATTCTAAAGCTGCAAAATAAAAAAGAACCCTCAGTTGGTCTGGAATATTCAGTTCACCGTTTTCTGAAGTCACAAGTCCTTCACTGAAATAGCTCTGTTTGGAACACAAGATTCTTCCTACAGACAAAATTATTTATGTACTAATATCACTGTAAAAATACATCACACTTTAAAAAAGTCAATTAGACATCTTATTCTGGAGGCTCCCATTTCTAAAATCATTGTATGCATAGACTGGAACAACATTCTTAGTTCAAAACATTTTCCAAACAAGACCATTCAACTTAAATTCAATAGGGGGATATCTACTAGAAATCAGTATAGGGATAGTATTGATATACCTAAATACTATATATTTTGAAGAATTGCTGAAAAACACCAAAGTCCACTAACAAAAGTGAATATATGTGTCAGGAATTATTGTTACGCATCTTTTAATTGAGTCCACTATCTGGAGGAAAAAGAAACCTGAACAACTCCCCAGATTTGTCTCTTTGGGCAACTCATTACACATTAGAAGTTTATTTGCAAAGAAAAAAAAAAACAGTTATTAGAAACAGAAGGGAGAAATTTGGATAAGCATTAGTTTAATTTGTTAATTTTCAGTTTAATTCTAATTATCCAGAGAAAATTGAAGTTGAAACTGCTTATTCAAATCACTTGCGCTGAGCAAGTGAAGCAAAATATTTTAGCAATTCTTGTACTGTATTCTGAAAACACTCTAAAGCAGCTATACCTTCTAATAACTACAAATTACCAACTTAAAGTCCCTAATTTCCATACTAATAAAGGCATCATTACTTTTGTCATTCAGTAAAATAATTTGTGCATGGCAGACAAATGCAAATAAGAAACCTATTATGATCCTAAACCAAATGTGAAGAGCCATGCAGTGATGTACAGCTGAGTATTACAGAGACCAACAAAAGTGTCTGGCAATCCCCATAACAACTAAATTAAAGAAAAATCTTCCCTTCTCCTTCTTTCTACTCCCAAACCCACCTCAGCAGCAGGAGAATTCATTCTCAAGAAAGAATGACCTTATGACCATGGCACAGCACTAAATCTTATTTTGTCCTATATTTGGCTTTGTAGGACTCTTCCTTATGATTCCTAGGCAAATCTTCATCTTGTGTATTTAATCACAATGAGAATAAAGATTCCCACTGACATATATTTAGGTATTTCTAATTTAACAATTATTTGCAAAATTCAAAAATAAATTCTAAAAAGCAGGCTAATTTCAACCAAGGGAGGTAAAAACCCTAAAGAGGTTCATAGGTCTGTGAAGAACTTGAGACAGTCACCTTCACTCATCTGCCTGATCTCACAAAATATTGCTCACGTTCACTTTTATTCTGAAGTCTCTGGTGATGAAAGTTGCACAATTCCCATGCAATCTTCTCTCTTTCACTCTTCTCCATTGCAGTGTTTTTCCTTTCCTTCTAACACAACAGAAAAGGTTAGTCCCTTTGCCTCTTCTCTTCATCATTAGCAGAAAGCACAGACAACCACTCCCCAACTTCCTTCTTACACTTCCTGGGACAAACACCTCTCTTCAGTCCTATCACCTAGATTTAAAAAAAAAACAAAAAATATCACCTGCTCTGTGTTTCCTAGTAGGCTATTTTTTTTAACGGATCTATGCTCATTCTTGCTGATTTTCTCTAGCTGTTCCGCCTTGGACCACCTACTTCTTTCAACTCCAGGGTTCCAAATTACACACTGCTCCTGCTGAGCCTTCACTAAGGCTAAATGCAGTGGAGGGGTTGTTTTACATGCCTTGCACAGCATCTTCCACTCTGTACGATCCCAGTATGGCGCCCTGCCTCACTGCGTAAAGCTATTGATTCACGTGAAGGTTACCAGCCATGCATTTTCTTCACATCTTTTTGGCAGGACTACTACTTTGAACGAACATTGCAGTCACATACTGCTTCTTAACATATACTGAAAATATTTGTGTTCTTTCACAGAGGGGAAACTAGACTTCAGAAATTATCTGAATTGCTGTTTTGAAGGCAAAAATGCAAACAAAATTAAAATTATACCACGTGTCATGATGAGATGTGACAAAAAAGAAAAAAACATTTTTGCTCCTCAGAGGAAGTTATTGATAGGAGCAGATGATTATTTATTCCAAGTTTATATACTAGGTATCTGGAAATCCTAGGACATTGTCTCATGTTCATGGAAAAGTATTTTGGTGTTAGGCCCTCTTTTCACTAAGCTTTACTAACCAAAGCAGTGAGGAAAGAACTGCACATTTTTAGACAGTTTAGCTTAGTACTTTTTGCTACTAGTCTGTTTCTGAAATCACCAGTTTTCAAAGACTGATTTTAAACATAGGTATCAGTGAGTAATCTAAACTCCTCTGAATCACCTATTATGGTATTATAATGTCAATGCTACCTCCTCCCCAACCCCATTATTAACTCTTTACAACATTTCTTTGTATACTAATGAACAGACCCATACTCTTTACACATCCTTCTTAATGTACCTTTTAATAAGGTTTTAGTATAATTGTAACCAATTTTCATTTGGATAACCCAATACTTACGAGTTGGGCTCCTAAAACATTACCCTCTAGAGGATTCACAATGATGGGGTGAGTGACACCAGTGATATTTGTTAACTGCTGGTATTTGTGCATCCTTACTGGCTGTGAGACCAGCTTACAGAACTGACCATGTCATCCATTTCCACCTGTGATGAGCCATGATAATTTATAAGAACATGATACTGGCTTTCCATAAAAAAAAAAAAAGAGCATGTTAACTTTAAAAGAACAACACTAGGCAAAGGGGTTTTATCCCTAAATTATTTTGCTTTTGCAACTATGACCTCAACAATGATTCTATTATGATTTATAGTGAATGACTTCTTTGTATTTTAGACTTCAAAGTATCATACTAAACAATATAGGAATTATAATCTATATTAAACAATATAGATTTAAAAACACAACCCACAATCATACAAAACCATAACTGAATGTCTTCAGCTGTATGTGAGCAAGTGCCTGTGAAGCATGAAACACAAGTAAGCTAAAAATGTCTTGCTGAGAAGAAAAAAATCAAAAATGTTTTGAAAGACAACTGCAAGGGCTTAGCAAGTTGAAGCCTGCTCAGAGGAGCATTTTTGTGGCACAGTGGTAGAAATTGCAAAATAGTGATGTGGTTTATCACTTCCCAGTCAAGTCTTCTGACAAGAAAAGCTGTGCAGCAAAACCTACTAGCCTTCAACCTGGCTTGCAAAATTCACACCACATCTCAGGGTCTCACAAAAGATTCTATGTTTATACTTCTTCCAGCACATCTCTAACAACCTTGTTGATCTTCAAGCAATCATAACCAACATCAGAATATTTCCTTATTATCAAGGTGGTATGGATCCCTTGCATTCTTAGGGACCGGAACTGTCTTGGATCAGTTAAGGGTTAGAGAAAATTCATTTTCATTCCAAAACGATTCCATTTTCTTTCCACTTTGAACAAAACGGACTCCTTCAATACTAAATGGTACTCTAGCACAATAGCAGTGACAATATAACCTTGTTCAAAAGATAGTATCAGCACTTTTCTGAAGTTAATTCTTTCCTTGAATTCAAAGATGTTAATTTTCTTTTGCAACTAATTGGGGCTTTATATTATAATCAAAAGACCATCACAAACACTGGTGAAAATAATGGCTCCACAACATGTATAATATCTAAACATTAAAATACTCTTTTTGATGACGGAACACATGAATTGTAAAAAGCACTGGAAAATTAAGAAAGCCTATTTTAATGTAATACTTCCCATTCATTATCCTCTTATAAAGAACATCCCAGAGTTCTTTAAAATAAATAAATTGAGCATCTAAATAAAATTCACTTTAAAAATAAGAGCCATTAAAATTACCAGTAACAGCCAAACAAAAACAATCCCCTAAATTATCAAAGCACAAATGTCCAAAAATCTTAAAAGTACAGGAAGTATTTGGATAGGATGGAAAATAGAGGGATGCTGTATCTATGCCAAGGGGGCCTTCTGTTAGTTACCATCAACCATATTTTATCTCTATTTCAGCCTGATGAAAGCTGTTAGTCTCACTACTATGTTTTCAGGCTCTGAACATACTCCAAAATTTTTCTTTCACTGCTGTCACTCAATTAGTGCCAACTTGGGGCAATGTAACTTATTAAAAGCTTGCATACTGCCTAATACA